GTGATCCGGAAGTTTCCGGAGATCGAAGGTCCTGACGTTTCAAAAAATCATTGATCACAAAAGTTTCCGGAAATCAAATTTTGAAAGGTGGAACTTAAAAACACAGTTTATTTTATTTGTTTGTAAGGGAGAGCCAGATACTTTATAAGCTTTATATTCAAGATTAATATTAATTTTTTATCAGTAAATAGTTATTATAATCATAAACTCAAGAAAGAAAGACATATTTGCTATATATATATATGTATGTATATATATGTATCTATATGTGTATATATATATGTATATATATATATATGTATATATATATGTATATATATATGTATATATATATTTATATATATATCAACGCGAAAAAAATAATTGCAAATTAAATAAACATATCAATTCTTAAAATATTCTATCAGTGTGATAGCGTCAGTCGGAAGGGGTATCAATTTAAGAAGGAAATAAATCCGATATGCGTTCTTTTCTTCGAACTGACGAATATTTCCGGGACGAATGACACATGCATATGAGTGGTTTTCAATCTTTTTTTAGAGTTGACAATGAACGATTTAGATCATATCTCTCTTTTTGGGGGAGAAAAAACGAAATTCGACTTTTTTGGTGCTCCAATCCTTTTAAAATATAATATGAAATAGTAATCGAAGCAAATAAATATTTGATATACAGATTAGAATTTCTAAATAGTTGAGAACGGAAATAATTAGTGGAAAGATGTAAATTTTTTTCTAAAAAAAAATAGGGTTTAGGTTCAGTATGGTAGTTAGAAATTTTAGCTCGCATTTTGAATTTATAGAGAGGGAAGAAAGGTTAAGACGAAACATAAGATGGTAATAATAATAATAAAAGATGATAATAATAATGAAGATGGTAATAAAAGTCGACATGCTGAACGCGCTAATAACTGGAACCCATTCTCAAAACTTTTCAGACGTGAATGAGGAAATAAAATAAATCTTGAAACAAAAAATGCAAAATTGAAAAAAAAAATGGAAAATGAAGATAAAAAACAAAACTAGAAAAACCTCGGTGGCAGAGAGCAAAATGATTTTGCTTGTGTAATGGAAAGGTGGTGAGGAGCTCGTGTCATTATCAAAGAAAGCGCAATTCACATGAATGAAACAAGATTCCAGGGCATCAAGGTGAGCTGACGTGACAGGAGTGAATAGAATTTTGTCACTATCGAAATCAAATTTATGCCTCAGATTCTAACAATGTGCATATTTTTATAACGATCATATCTGTTGTTTTGTCTGGTCTAAATTTTAAAACGCGTCTTTAAAAATTATATAGTTATGGCATATTACATACCATTTTTTCTTCATTCAGTTGAATGAAACCAAACCAAAGTCGATAGGGCTGATAGTTCAAACGTTAATAGTTATTATACAAAACCAGCGCTACTTATTTGTCTGAGATTTTTTTATCTAAACAAGTAAAGTGTTATTTTCTCTGTATTTGACTGCACTGAACCAAACAAGATCAAATTTAAATCAATTTGACAAATAATTTAAAAGTTATTGTCATATATTGTAAATCACCAATAGTCGACTATAATTATCAATCCATCAATAAATATAGTTTATTAACTTCTACTTCAATTTATAGATAATATATTGCAACATGTAAACATTTACTTCAACCTCTTCAATGATGTTTTAACGGTTGCCACTTTTCTTGAGAGGTTTAGAACGGCAAAACTTATACCAATAATTCCTCTTTCCACAGTTGTTGCAGGCCGTACCAAACGCTGGACACTTTTTAGGTTCATGTTGAAGTCCACAATTTTTACAACTATATCTGTTTTGCTTTGGGAACTGTTCGCGAGAAGTAGAGACCAAATTGATTTCATTTTGATAATCTTTGAATTGATCATCAAATGCTTTCAGTATTTGGTCAAGGCTTACTTCGATGGCTGGAGGCAGTGGTGTAAGTGTGAAAGTGCGATAGATTGTTTTTAACTCTTCACCACATACATGTCGAAACAAAGCCGTTTTCCTCTTTTCTGACTCAGATGAATAGCCAGAAGCCTCAAGATAGTTTTCAAAATCTTGCTTCCAGAATCTCCATGATTCTGAAGGATTTGAAGCGTTCACGCTGAATTGCTTAGGAGTTGGTAGGCTGGTTGACATTATCGATAAATGAAAATAACAAGTAAGCTGGACCAGATTAATATTTATAATGCTTAGTAGGCAGTTTAACTTTACTCTGACACCATGTTATGATGTTGGATATCATAAATTAGAATAATTAAAGAAGATAACATAATAGCTAAGTTTATTGAATTACATCTTGCTTACATCATACTAATGATCGAAGTTACAGTACTTATTCAAAGATAAAAGTTGAAGTAAATGTTTACATGTTGCAATATATTATCTATAAATTGAAGTAGAAGTTAATAAACTATATTGATTGATGGATTGATAATTCTAGTAGACTATTGGTGATTTACAATATATGACAGTTATAAAGATTTTTTTGCTCGAAGAGTGCACCTTTTTTTCTCTCTTACTCACTACTATCTAGACAAATGAAGTAATGTTTCCATTTTTTTAGACGCCAAGTCAAACGAGAGTAGTGTTAAGACAATAGTATAAACTAGGAGGCTCCGCCCCCTGCTCGCTAACGCTCGCCAACCCCCGAGAATTGCTACGCNCAAAATCTTGCTTCCAGAATCTCCATGATTCTGAAGGATTTGAAGCGTTCACGCTGAATTGCTTAGGAGTTGGTAGGCTGGTTGACATTATCGATAAATGAAAATAACAAGTAAGCTGGACCAGATTAATATTTATAATGCTTAGTAGGCAGTTTAACTTTACTCTGACACCATGTTCTGATGTTGGATATCATAAATTAGAATGATTGAAGAAGATAACATAATAGCTAAGTTTATTGAATTACATCTTGTTTACATCATACTGATGATCGAAGTTACAGTACTTATTCAAAGATAAAAGTTGAAGTAAATGTTTACATGTTGCAATATATTATCTATAAATTGAAGTAGAAGTTAATAAACTATATTGATTGATAGATTGATAATTCTAGTAGACTATTGGTGATTTACAATATATGACAGTTATAAAGATTTTTATGCTCGAAGAGTGCACCTTTTTTTCTCTCTTACCCACTACTATCTAGACAAATGATGTAATGTTTCCATTTTTTTAGACGCCAAGTCAAACGAGAGTAGTCTTAAGACAATAGTATAAATAGTTTAAAACTTTTAGATATTTTACACGTGAAATGATAAAAATCAAACATTATGTTATTCTCCGGGTAACACGACTCAGTTATTAGATTATTGTACCATGCTATACAAAAACCGATTACCATTTAATAAATGAAGAAAGTTATTTCGTTTAGTTTGTTCGTTAAAGACGAACATATTTTCGAGAATTTTGTAAATCCATTTATTAGTGTGTGCAACATGTTCCAACTAATCCTAATCTCAATTTTTATGATCAACTATAATTTTCTGTAGAAATTCAGAAGTTGAGAGATCTACAATATTTACTCACTATTTACTTGGTGGCAAATGGAAAAAAGAAAGATATGAAAAAGAGGAGAAATATTTATTTTTTCCTCTTTTCTAAAATCTATCATATCAAATCAAAAGGTATAAAAAATTACAATGTCACGAATGGTAGTCTGAAAATTTGTTGTAAAAATATGTTTTTAAACCATTTTTATAAACATTTGTTTATTTTGATGGCAAATAGGACTTTCCAGAAAATATGTAAATTAACATCAATATGAGATTTTGAACTAATTTTAGCTAATTAAAAATTGAACATGAAAAAAAACAGTCAGTTAATAATTCAATGCGTAAAATTACAGTTCTATCTCATTTCAGAGGCTAGTAAAATGTTATTAATGCAATTCAATTCCATATTTTTTTTCAAAAATTTTCTTCTACAATTTTATAAATTATTATTTATAACAAAAGTAGTAGCTATTAAGTCACATCAAAATGAAATATATTTTATAAAAAAATTTATTTACCAGTTTATCTACATATATCACTTGCTATTAAAACATATATTTCATTTACGATCCGCATTATCAAAGTCAGCCAACAGATGGCGATAGTAGCTTTCCTAGTTGGAATTTAGAAATCTATAGAAAGTGTATTAAGAGAAACGAGTCAGTAATTATTCGTATTTTATTATTATTTGATTGCTTTATTAAATTTCTAATTACAAATTAGTTTAATTGAATTCAAAATCTAGAAATAATGTTAGTTAACATACTATTTCGCAGTTCTAAGTAAACTTAAATTTCCACTAACTACCTATATTTCTTAATAAGTTTTTAATTAACAGTATGTTATGTGATATACTGAAGGCGTGATAACAAATATTGTTTTGAGTTTGGGTTTTTAATTTTGTAAATTTTTCTTAAATCTTAATTTAAAAAATGAAAACTCCTCGGCTTAAAATATTGAAATTTCTTATTTTATAATTTAAACGTTTCTCATTAGTTTTATGAAAGACATTAAGCTGATATTTTGAGGAAGCAATAATCGTATCAATTAGCTTACAATCAATTAGATTAAATTTTTTTATCCCACTGCATGAAGGTGCAAAATCTAGAAATAATGTTAATTAACATACTATTTTACAGTTCTAAGTAAATTTAAATTTCCACTACATACCTATATTTGTAAATAAGATTTTAATTAACAGTATGTAATGTGATATACTGTAGACGTGATAACAAAAATTGTTTTGCATTTGGGTTTTTAATTTCGTAAATTTTCCTTAAATCTTAATTTAAAAAATGAGATGTCCTCGGCGTAAAATATTGAAATTTCTTATATTATAATTTAAACGTTTCTCATTAGTTTATGAAAGACGTTATGCTGATATTTTAAGGAAGCAATAATCGTATCAATTAGCTTACAATCAATAAAATTTAATTTTTTTAATCCCACTGTATGTGTTTCTCAAAATTGAGCAAAAATGTGCAAAATAGCTTTGAAACAAGTAATAGTCAAATTTGAAAACTTCACGCATTCAAAATTGAAACAGCAAATACTGATTTTCTGAAAATAATATGAAGGAGAAAATGTGCCCGTTGGCTGCCGGCAGGATACAAAACAAGGATCTCCGAGTTCGTAGTAGGATGCTCTTAGTACTAGTTGTACAGAGTAATCCAGGTAGAATTTGGAACATTTATAAATTGGCCGGCTCAATGACAGATCTTGATTTACTAATTTCCAATTTTAATCCCACAAAGGGTTGTAATTTCGGTCCCTATAGCTTAGTCGGTAATTTTAATTTCACTTTTTCCTAAATTTGCTATATCGTAAAAACTTTTAAGCTAATGTAATATATGAAACTTCCTAACTCTCTTTGGTCTGGATTGTACAACTATGGAGGTTAAAGCATTCTACTACGAACTTGACGGTCCTCGGTTCGAGTCCTGCTGGCAACCAATGAACATTTTTCTCACACATTGCTCCCGTCCCGCAGTGGACTGATCGTTAAGACACATTTCCCAGCAGATCACCGAAGTCAAGCATCACTGTCTGCGGTCAGTGTGCGGGTGGGTGACCACTTGGATCAGTCTGCGTAGGGACCGAGTGTGTGCGGTATTGGTGTGTTCTACCGTAAAGTGCTCGACTTCACGTGCTGGTCGTCGGGCTACCGAAGCTGGGGTGCCATCCCCTCTGCAGAGGATCAAAATTGTGATGGCATGTCTTCGGATCCTCCCCAGGGAAGTTTATCAGACCGTCGCCAATAGCCCATCGGGCAGCTCTAGTGCGGCGTAAATTAACTGCAACAACAACACGTTGCTCCCTCCACATCAAATTTGAGGCTATGCATCTAGCTAAAAATTGAGTAAATGTTGATGGATGCACGAGTTTTCAAATACATAGGCTTTCCAATTCAACAGTAATTTTTTCAAAGCCCTTTTCACACATTTTTAGTATATTTTGAGAAGCCTTTTTAATACAATGCACCACTTTATGAAATCCATCTTCATGTTTTCGGAAAAAAATCCATAAATTTGCTTCATTAGAAAGTTATTGAAATTATAAAACAATTATTGAAATTATAAAACAAATTATTGAAATTATAAAACAATTTTCCTTTTTAGCTAAAATAAAACTACTTTTTAGATTTTTAAAAAAAATGTTGGGTTACTCGTTAACATTTATGTTACACTTATTCCATTAGCGGCGTTTAATAAAAGTTGCAAATTTTAATACAAAATGAACAGTTTTTTTCCAACTTTTTACTTGAATGAATCTGAGAGTTTTCGTTCATATTCAGATTAATTTATTAATTATTTAGATTAATTTAATAAAAACTCTAGCTATTTGTCTAAACATTTATTCATAATTTTTTATCAGTATAACTATGCTTTCATTTAAAAATCTTTGCTTAGTTTTTAAAAATGTTTATTCTGCATCAAACAAATGATTTTTTAAAACGTCAATTAAAATTTTTCAAATCTCTTTTTGAATTAATCAAAGGCAGTAAATATATATATTCAATATGCAGTTGAATAATTGTTAATTGTAAAAAAAAATTTCAGCCCTTATTATTATAAAATTTTTGTAGTTAATGAAATAAATATCATTTTCTCAAACATGTACTTTTTATTATTTTCATCTACAATATATGTTCAAACATATTACCTAGTGCATTTAATAAAACATACATAATATAATTTTGACACATTAAAAACTTCATTTTTTATGTTATTAAGCATACATTAATATATTTCCAACAAAGGAGGTTCCATTTTTGTTTAAAGAAATCAAAACTAACTATGCATTTTGACATTTATAAGTGACGCTAAATAATGAAATGAAACGAACAATAGTGTACTCACTGTTTTTTTCCATACTTTATTATTAGTTCAGTAATATCTGGAATTCGAGAAATAGATTCTGAAGCTAAAAAAGAAATGTCAGTCGCTTTATTTTCATCGTTATTTTTCGACATTTAAGTATTTCAGTATTTATTTTATATTATTTCTTTCAAAATTTTTACTGCACTCAATAATTTAAATTCAAAAAAGGCTCCATAATTCTAAATTTTTTAGCTTTTTAGTGTCAGACTTACACATACTGTTTCCACGAATTTTTAACGTTGCTCATTGTATTAAACATATTCCCTAATCTAAACAACTTTGATTTTAAAAAAACCATGGAACAGCTGAGAGAAAATCATGAATTTACTCTTACTAAGTGTCATTTATTTCCAGTAAAATTTGACATAAATATTTTAAAAAATTCGAAAACAATTTTTTGTACTTTTCA